CCACCCCCTGCCATTCCCGCTGCCTCGGGAGGGCGGAGGGTTGAGGGAGGGAGGTTACCATGTTGAAGAAGTCCTCGCTTCCGCTGGGCTGGAAGTTGAGGCGAGCGAAGGACAGGATGATACCGGCCAGATGGGAGACGGAGAGCTGCCTGCTGTTGTCCAGCGCGTACTGGAACGTAAGAGGGGACAGAGCCGGGGGGTTTGGGTCTGTCCGACACGACCACAGACAGGAAAAGACTGAAAGTGTCAGCCAGGGATGCATCCAGCCCCACGGCAAGACGGCAAAACGGGAGCAAAAGATCTTTTAGTGCTTCTCTGGGATTTAATCTTGGCACAAGGGAAAGCTGAGCGGAAGCAGAGCTCTGTAACACCCCGGCACAGGTGCAGAAGGGCAGGCACAGAGCTGGGAAGGCGCCTGGAGAAGGAAGCAGGGCCGGCACTTGGGAGCAGAGGCTCAGACGGAGCCGAGACTGGCTCCAGCTCGGATTCCCAGCACTGACTTTAGCGGAAGCGAGTCCTGTCAGACTCGATTACAGCCGCCGGCTGGGCAGGGAGAACAGTGACGACATCCCAGAGAATCATAGAACCATGGAATGGTTTGGGTGGGAAGGGACCATAAAGATCATCCAGTTCCAACCCCCCTGCCATGGGCAGGGACACCTTCCATATTTTTTTGCACCAGCCCTCGTCCAGCCTGGCCTTGGACACTTCCGGGGATGGGGCATCCACAGCTTCTCGGGGCAACCTGCCCCAGTGCCTCACCACCCTCTCCGGGAAGAACTTCTTCCTGAGATCCAATCTAAACCTCCCCACTTTCAATTTAACCCCGTTACCCCGTGTCCTGTCACTACAGGCCCTTGGAAAAAGTCCCCCCCAGCTTCCTTGTAGCCCCCTCAGGTACTGAAAAGGGGAAACTCTTCCCATTTCCTGGGAAGCGAAGCGGATCACAGCTGTACTGGTGCCGGTGGGTGCTTCCCTGTGCCCCCCCCAAACCCCCTCCTCACCTGTGCAATGGCCTCACACAGCGGCAGGCTGAGCCACTTGAGGAGGGCGAAGGACCTGATGCAGCGCGTCACCTCGACGGGCGTCATGGTGGGGACGTGGGGCTGGAGGTCGGTGGCTATCTTCTGGAAGACCTGGGGCTGGTGGAAATTCAGTTTTCCTTAAAGGAGCAAAGAGAAAGCGGCAGCCCCTTACACGGACCTGGTACCACGGAGCTGGTACGGGAGCAGGTTTTAGCCTCAGACTGTCCAGCCCCAGATCCTGGTGCCGTCAGAATAGCCCTGAGCTCGCTACGGCTGCCGGGAACCTCCCGCTGGCCGAGGAATGAGCGAGGGACCAGCCAGGAGGGGACAGTCCCCGTGAGAAGGGCACAGGCAGGGTCTGAGACCGGCAGCAGCGGGTACAAACCCCCCCGGTGCAACGCCGCGGCAGCTACGGGCACCAACGAGAAACGTCGGCGCAGCGTGACAGCGTCCCGGCTGGGAAGTGTGGAATGACATACTCCACCCGGCCTCTCCTTGCGCTGGGATTGTCCAGCACGACGGCCACAGCGCTGCCGGAGCCTGGGCACGCTCCCAGCCCACACCCGGCCGCTGCGGTCAGTTTTAAGGCCGAGGGAACTGCCGGGTCACCAGGGCCAAGCCCTGCGTACGACCCAGGCCCGTATACACCATCCTGCTGCCCTTCCCGAGCTGACGCACCTACAGCCCTGAGAAAGGCACCCAGCACGGATTTGGATGCCATGACACGGATCATCCCCCCACTTCCCTTCAAACTCATTCCGGATCCATCAAACTCACAGCACGGAACATCAAGCACAAGCTCCTATGGGGGTTATTTCTTTAGAGCACGTAGCTAACCCACAGAGACTGTCCCGTCGCCAGAAAAGTCATTCCCACCACAAAAAGCTGGACAGTCACCTGAGGATGAGCTCCTCCTTGGCTCTCCCAGCTTCCTTTATCCCTCTTTGGGCTTTATCCCTATGTGCCTGGGCTTTCCAAGAGGAAAGCGGGACCAGGCAATACTGTACGGGAAGAGAAGCCAGAGAACTACGACACCCAGGATCATAATTCAGATTATTAATTAGTGCTACCCCGCTGTTAATAGAACTGGTTTGGATCCAGCTCTGTCACCACTAAGAAACTGATGGCTCTGGGTTACCCCATGCCAGGAACCTCGCTGAGGTGGCTGTCACCGACCCGAGCATTCGCCAGTGCCTGTGCGAGTACTCGCAGCATCTCGCCTGCTCGAGAGTAGGAATTCAGCACCCAGCGCTGCTCAAACGATAATTAACTCATCGCCAGGACATCCCGGGGGGGGAGAAATCGGCTACTTCAGGGCTACTGTCCCCGCTGAAGTCCAGCTCACCCCGTGGCTCCTGCTCAGTCCTGCTGCTAGCGAGGGCGGCGTTTTGCAAGCGAGGAAACAGAAGAAGGGGCTCCCCAAGACACCCACGGTCACAGGAGGAGATGAGAGAGGATTTGGGGGGGATCTGAGCTCACTAGCTGCCTACGCTGCAGGGCAGAGGGGCTCCCTGGCACCCCGATCATCCTCCCGAAGCGCTCTCTCATTGCACCTTCCCTTCTTCCCACGCATCGGAAGGAAAACCAGGATGTAACATGGGAGACGCTCGGCGCTGCGCTAGGTCCAGCCGAACGCACCCTGCCGGCCTGTCTCCCTCACCCAGCCTTGAGGCCGTGGAAGCGATGCCATCACATCCCTACTGAGCGCCCCAAATCAACGGGGCTCTACCACAGGGAACATCCAGCAGGTCCTGACAGGAGCGAGTCGCTTACCATAGGCGAAAATCAGGTCCATCAGGACGCTGAGGCCGAGCTCTGAGTGTTTCTGAATCAGGTGGTAGGACAAGGCTCGGAGCAGAGGCACGCAGCGGCGGTTCTGGTAGGCTAGGGCCAGCATTACTTTCCGGATGTCATCGGGGTTGAACTGCTCAGCAAGTTCCAGAGCCTGCGGAGGAATGTTTTGAGCAGGGAACGTGAAGGGAAAGTACAAAGCAAGGCGTGGATGGAGAGGGATGCGCCACTGCCACCGGCCAAGCCCCTCCGAGGGTGACAGGGACTGGGACGGGGGGGTGTCCAGCAGGCAGCGAGGCTAAGCACGCGGCAGCGAGCGCAACGGCTCACGTGGCGGGAGGGCGAGGGAAAGCAGAGCTCGGCCAGCATCCCCCTGCTCCTGGCTCTGCCCCCCCAAGCTGGCAGGACCTCGGTGTCCTCTCCCTCTGCGTGTCCCAGCACCGTAACACGCTGCCAGGCAAAGCCCGACGGGAGAAAATGCACCGGCTGCTGTGTCAGCACCCGCTTGCCCCTGGAATTTCTGCTTCGTTCGCAAGACACCGACCCAGCCTCGTTAGTCTGGGCTCTGCATAAGCCAACAACCTCATCAGAGCCAGCCACAGCGTTCTGCCTCGTCACGCGCCGCTGTCTGTTGCGTTCATTTGGCCCCAGAGCGGAGGGAGGAGAGACAGTGGGGGTCACGAGCCACAGTTATTGCCGTGGTAGCTGGCCTGGCCAGTCCCCAGCATGGGCTGGACGAGGACTGAATTTGATGGAGCCGCAGTCAGGGCTCCTGACCTGGTTTCCAACCCCAAGGACAGGAAACAGCGACAGGAACAGGGAGCCAGGAGCAGCGGAGGGGACAGACCTGCCCCCTCTAAAGAGGACGCGTGCCCAGGGGCAGGGAGAAAGCGAGGACAGGCGGGACACTCCTTGTCCCAGCTCCCCTGGGAGCCTGGCTCGAACAGGGAAGCAGAGGATGATGGTTTTGGCAGCTGTGTTACGCTGGCTCCGTAAATTACCGCTTGCCAGCTGAGCCAAGGAAATCCGAGCGTTCTGCCACAGCTGCAGAATAAAACGCAGCAGCTCAACCCCTTTCCAGCAGCGCAGACCAGTGCGGGTCACCCACTGGCACCAGTATGGATTGGGAAGGGGCTGGTGAGTGTAAACACCCTCCGCCCTTTGTGGCTCCTCAGGGGAAACCCCTCTTAGGAGCATCCGTGTGTGGGAAGATGCTTACAAGGCGACTCGGAAGCGCAGCCTGGGTGGAATTGTGCTTCCGTGTGGGATGGGTTGAAGGGGACAGGGCTCTCCCACCGCTGTCACCTGCGGGAGGTGGCCCATCCAAAGGGAACGGAGGCGGAAGGGAGATCCCAAACCCCTACCTTGTCCTCCAGCCGGTCCATCAGAGCCGGGGAGACGTGCCCCACTCTGCCCATCAACGCCACCACGGTCCGGGTGCCCTCCAGCTCCGTCCAACGCAGCTCCAGCTTCTTGATGACTTCGCCGAGCAGCTTGCTCTCCTTCCCCTGCCTGACAGCCAAGGATTCGGCCAGCAAAGTGAGCTGCCGGAAGGTGAGACGCCGCAGCCGCCACAGCACCTCCTGCTCCACCGACTGCATCTCCCTCCTGTGGCTGTCCATCCCCAGGGAGTAGAGGCTCTTCAGGAGGTTCACCAAGGTGTTATTCCACACGTGGGAAATCTGGGAAGCAGAGAGAAAGAAGGGAAAGGTGTCGATGAGAGACAGTGTGAGAGTGTTCTGTTAGCAGGCCATGCTCGCTCTCCAGAAAGAGCTGCACAGCGCTGAGGGGGAGGCGAGAGAGTCCTCCTTGGCCTGAGGACATCCAGCACAACGCGAGACCTGCGGTCTCCTCAGCGGTGCAGCCTGCCCAGTCGGGCAGACACCGGAGCAACCCACCGGGGAGGAAGCACGAGGGCTGTACCGTGAGCTGAAGTCACGCACCGAGCCAGGCAGCACCGATGAGGTATCACACGTCGTGTCCGGAGCTGCTGAACTGGAGCGAGCTCTGGCTCACAGGGGGAATTTACAGAGATTTGCTGCCAGCTGGGTGTAGGTGGGATGGAGGGGGCTGTGCCCACGGCACCGAGTTCAACCAGGCCAAGGGCAAGG